AACTTCTCCCATCCGAACGCTCTAAGAAGTTGGCAATTAGCTACAAAAATCCCTCTGTGAGCTAATGAGCTGATCAGTGAGGAATACATGCACTGTGGTTCCTTTTTTTTCTTTCCGTTGTTTTTTTTTCCTCCTCTGTTTCTTTTTTTTTCTTTCTTTCTTTCTTTTTGTCTCTCTTTCTTTCTTTTTTTTTCTTTTTTTTTTTTTTCCTACGTCTCTATTCATTTACCCACAATGTACCAAAACTCTGATCGCGACGCTTCGTCGCACAGTACGCAGAGAAGGGAACCCCCTCGCTCGGATACGGCGGGCTCTGTAACTATCGGCGTTGCCAATAGATGGCACAGTGGCCTTTCCCTTGCTCGGAAGCTCCCGCTCCCCTCTTATTTACCTCGCTTGTTTGTTTGGCTCGCAGCAAGTTTTTTGACGCATAAACGTCTCTTTGCGTTTCCTTCCCTGGGGTACAGAAACCCTAGGTATCTTTACAAAGGTATATTGCAAAAATTAAAATTACAGATGTAATACATACTGTGAAACCTATAAAAATGCGTTTACAATGGTTACTTAAAAAAGAAATTTATAACTTTCATATGTACCTTACTCGCGCAATATGCAACTGCCATATGTTTCCTAGTGCCATAATTCAGTTTTTCCTGGACAGCTGGAGCAGGTAGGACTTCTGAAAGTACATTTCGTGTAATATGAGAACCGGCCCCGACTAAAGACCGAGGGCTGCCATAAAAAGACACAAGCCTCGCTTAACAAACGCTGTTTAACTACACACCGTTTCTTACAATGGTTCGATATAAACGTTCCCGTAGCCCCGCGTTATGACAAAACGGGGATACGCTGTATCTTTTTATTGCTGAAATCCCAGCCTTGCAAACATAAATATTTCCAATTAGTGGCTCTACTCTAAGCTACGGTGATTTAAAGCTACCTAATTTAATTTAATTCCATACACGTTTTCATATTTTTCCTGAGACAATAGTGAAAATACGAGTTAAATTTATAGGAAAGCAATAAAGAAGTAAAGCCAGAGGTTTCTTCAGCCCTCATTTAGCGTTTGCAAAGTTTTATTTTGAGACTGCGGCCATGAAAAGGCTCTTTTAAAAAATCGTTTGTCTGAAACGAGCAATGAATGTAAGTGGGAGAGTCATATTAAGGGCTGGAGATTTTCTTCAAAATGATTCATGTTCGTGGCTCCATAATTCCGAATTAAGGTAGTAACTTAAGCGCTATGGAGCACGAGCACCAGAATATCTGTAATTTTAACACGGGTGCGTTTGAACTGTGCTTTCAATTCCTTCATGCAATTCCTCAGCATTTTCACCCGTCTGGAAAGCCGATCGGTCGGCTGCACGTTTATTTCCGTACGCTGATTTTATTTACCCTTCAGCAGCAGGAGAGCGAATGTTTCTTTCCGCAGTTTTAAAACGAGACCTGAGGCTGCGGGGCAGCGGCCGGTAGAGGCGGGCGGCCAAGGGGCTCGGCGGAGAGGGCAGAGAAAGGCCGCCCGCCCTCGCGCCGGGCGCGACTCGCAGCTGCTGCCGAACGGGGAGCGACGTCGGGGGGCAGGGCGGGCCGGCCGCGACCCGTTCGCCCGGTCCGCACCCGGCCTCCCCCGCTGAAGTCGGGACAACGTGTTCCAGCAGCAGCGAGATGCCCTCCTCTAACCTCGCTCACGGAGTCTGTGTGACGGCCACCGTCACGCCGCGGTGGCAGCACTCCCGGCACTTCGGGCTTGGTTTGGGGGTGACAAGGGATGCCCGCACAATTGCTCCCCGCATCCCCAGGATAACCCTGGGGTCACCGCAGGCGACTTTGGGCTTCATGAGCGGTGAGAGCGATGAAGTTTCCCTCGGACCCCCGCGCCCCCTCCGCCCGGTTCCCAATCCTAGGCTCCGGGACGGGGAGCAGCGGCTTTAGGAGTGTGAGGTCGGGCCGCGGATTTTGGGATGCCCCCCAGGTTCAGAAAGCGGCCGGAGAGGGCTGGGCCCCAGGACGAACAGCGGGGGCTGCGCGGGCCCGAAGCCGCCGCAGCGCTGGGTGAAGCGCCGCGCGGTGCGCGCCCGCGGAAGGTAATGAACGTTCGTAGTAACGTAGAGCCCCGCGGCCGCTCCGGCCGGATTTTAGACCCTCTGGGAGGCGGCTGGGGACTGTGGTACCCCGCCACGTCCGGCGCCGCGGAGTGGCTTCCGTTCAGTCAGAGCCACTCTTAATTTTATCTCAGGTCTGTTGGGACAGAGAACTGTAGCTCCTTGAGAGCCACTCCAGGTTCTCTGCTCATCCCGGCAATGGGAAATCTAAGGTGCTAATTCAGCCCCATTCCTTCCTCTCATCGGCTGTGGGTGAGAAACGGGAGGAGGTGCGCTCGGGGCACACAAAAACGTGATTTGCACGCGAATCTCCCACTACCTTCTCACTGTACTCGCTGTACTTTCTCACTGTGTTTGGCTGAGCGGCCCCGTCAGCTGCCCGTTGTCAGTGAGAAACCATTGGGCTCACTGGGGAAAAAATTGATAATGATATAAATATGTTTTTCTCAGTGACCGCTCCTCCGCTCCCCTGCTGGGAAGTTACAGCACACGGGGCTTTAAAGAGCGAAGCGCTCCGCGAACATTCTCTCCCTCTCCGAGTAACGCTCGGAAACATTTGCAGAAATCGCGAACGACGATGCACAGCCGTAAGGATCTCCTAAACAGCACCCGACATTCTCGAAGGCAGAAGAGGAAAATAAGTATCCTTCTGGCGAAAAACGGCTTCAACATCTTTTTATTTTCGAAAGCCGCAATGTGCGGCTTTCCTGTATCAAAGGCGCAGCGCCTCACCCGAGTGTCCGCAGAGCCGCACCGCATGTCACCGTCCGGGAAGAAAAGTAAAACCCGGAAAGGTGCTTTGAATATATACATTATTCCATCAGCAGATCGCTAGATAGAAATATTCTTCTCTCTTTCAGCATCCCATAAGAAAAAAAAAAAAATCTCACAGACATATGGACCGCACGTTGTTCGGTACATTCAATTTTATCCCCTTTGGGTTTGTTTAAAGAAGAAGAACAACAACAATAACAAAATCCAAACACTAAAAAAAACCCCAACAACAAAAAACAAACAAACAAACAAAAAAGTTAAGAAATAAAAACAACACCACATTGAATCTACAGAAATCGGTCTAGAAAAAGATATCCCAACAGCAGCCAGCGCCCAACCTCCCGGCGTCACCACCACCGACGCGAAATAAGGTGATGCGGCCATTCTGTGTGATGCAACCCGCAGAGCCCGGCTCCCCCCGCGGCCACCCCGCCGTCCCCGCTGTCCCCGCAGCTCTCGGAGGGGTCCTGGCCCTCCCCACCTCCCCTCCGTTCCTCCGCGCCGGGCCCCTACCTGCTCCGCCGGCCCCGCCGGTGCTGCAGCAGCGGAGGAGCGGAGCCGCGGAAGGCGCCGTCGGAGCTCGACGGGCGGGCGGCTCGCGGAGCGCCCTGGGGCAGCCCGGAGCCATTTCCTTCCTACCTCCCACTATCGATCTCAGCCCCAGCGCGAGGGCGGTTCAGCTCCTGCGGGATCCTCGAGCTTAACACGCTCCGACCCCTCTAGCACATGTGATTTCCTTCGGATTCGGTTGCGGCAGGGCCGGGCAGCTCAGACGGGCTTCAGCCCGCGGTGTGGCGAATGCGTCCCGGACGGAGAACGCAGAGAGAGAATCCCGCGGCACCGGGAGCTTCCCACAGTCCCACCGATCCGCAGTGGGATTTTATCGGGGTGTAATGCACAACCCTTCCACCGTGGTGGCGAGTTTTGTTTTTGTTTTTTCTTTAATCGATTATCGACCTGACACTCCCCCGCGCTTCGAAAGAGATGTAAACAAATTAATCGCCGGTAACGCTCCGTGGGGTAACTCATTTCTAAGTGCGTTTAGCACTCAGCCCTTCCCCGACGAAGCAGCCCATCCGGTATTGAAATAGGGCACACATCGCGCGCTGGGGATAGGTGAAACCGTACAGTGCATTTCACGTCTCCCCTTATGGCGGCTCCGTCTCCCCGGGGTGCCATCACCGGATCCCGTTCCGCAGCCCGGAAACAAACGAACAAACCCCCCAAATGCAAACATTCAAAGAGGAATGAATGGAAACAAAACAAAACATCCCAATAGCTTTTCCCTGGGAACGCACGGCAAAGAGTGACTGCCCCAAATCTGCAGCTTTCCATCGTGTTGCTCACGGGAAGGATTTCGGAATGGCTTTCCCCGTGCATACGTCGTGCACCTGAATGTGGCCGGTGGTTACGTCCAACGATCGGCGTCGGAGCGGCTGCGCCCAAACCCCTTTCGCAGCACCGCGACGAACCCCCGACAGCCGACCGGCGCTCCGACCCCCCCCCCCCCCATCCCGAACCGGGCCCGAACCGAACGAAGTCCCGCTGCAGACCCCCCATCCTCCCCCCCTCCCTTCCCGTTGCGGGGGTCGCTCCCGTTAACCCCCACCGCTGGGTGCGGTGGTGCCGGGCGGCCCCCCCCCCTCTCTGCTCGGCGCCGCGGGGCCCCGCTCGGGCCGGGCCGGGCCGGGGCGGTGTTGCGGCGCTGATTGGGCAGCGGGCGTCCGTGCGGGCTCAGCCCCCGCCCCGCGGCCCCGCCCGGCCCCTCCGCCCCGCGGCACTAATGAGCGGTCCGTCCCCGCGCTCTCCTGCCTGGAAGTGCTGACAGATCAAGGCAACAAATTTCAATTACAAGCCCTAATTTGTGTCCGCAGAGCGTTTGTTACCCATGTCAGTCCTGTTGGGCCCATCAGACGGGGCAGAGCGAGGAGGAGGAGGAGAAGGAGGAGGAGGGGGAGAAAAAGGGAGCATCTGCAAAAAGGAATAGAGTTGTTGTTTTTTTTTTCTCCCCTTGAAAAAAAAAAACTTGGCTGATAACTCGGATTTAAAAAGAAAGGCGAGGAAAAGCCCCGGCCCCAGCCGGCGCGGTCGGGAGGACGGGCGGGCGGCGCTGGCTGCAGGGGGGGCATGGCCGACAAGCGGCGGGCCTCGCCCGGCACCACCATGAGCCTGAAGGCTCACGCCTTTTCGGTGGAGGCGCTCATCGGCGCCGAGAAGCAGCAGCCGCCCGCGCCGCCCCCGCGGCAGCCCAAGCGGCGGAAGGTGGGCGGCGAGGACGAGGCGGCGGACGACGAAGGGGGCAGCGGCTGCTGCGCCGGGAGCCCGGCGGCCACCAGCGGCAGGAACGGCGGCGACATGGAGCCGGGCTGCGCCCGCGGGCCCGCCGGTGAGTGCCGCTCCGGCCCGGGGACGGGGCGGGGGGCAGCGGGGAGAGCGAGTAGTTCATAACGTCTGCGTGCGGGATGCGCCCGGCTATCGGTATCTTTCTGTATAACGTGTACGTACGCGCGTGGAGGGCTGAGCGAAACGCGCCCGAACGAAACTCGCGCGACGGAGCGTCCGGCGGGGTTCCGGCCCTTCGGCTTCCTCTCCTCTCCGCTCTCTCCGCAGGCGCCGATGAGGGTTTCGCGGCGGCGTCCCCGCCCGCCTCGCCCGGCGGCGGCGGCTCCCCGAAGGGCTCCGGGCCCGCCTCGCCTCTGCCCGCGCCCCAGGCGCCGCGAGTTGAGCTGCAGGGCGCCGAGCTCTGGAAGCGCTTCCACGAGATTGGCACCGAGATGATCATCACCAAGGCGGGCAGGTAACGGCACCCGGGCAGCCGAGTAGCCCGAGCCGAGCCGGGGCATCTCTGCGGGCGGGATTGCGCCGAGGAAGTGGATGTACGGCGCAGGGAAGCAGCCCCGGCTCTAGGCGTTGGGGCTTCCCCGCTCGTTGGGGTGAGGTCTGTGCGCTGTGCCCTTCGGAGGAGAAACTTTTCCCCTTCCCAGTGCGTACAGATGGCCAAAACCTGGATAGTATAAGCGGATCTGAACTTATTAGAAATTACAAAAACATATTTTATTGGATCCATATGCTACCTTCTCAGTGTTCAGAGGGGCTTTATTAATGATGGAAAAGCAGTCTCAAGCAGCACAAAGCAACATTTGTCTTACGGAGCCCGGGCAGGGGGCTCTTTTGTACCTTACAGGTGCATCGCAGCGGCAGCGCGCTGCCCGACGATGGACAGTTACCCTCGAGGTTTTCAGAAATAAAAGACGTGGGGCTTTCCTTTCCAGTAACGACTTTTAATTGAGGTGGTTTTTTTTTTGTTTGTTTTTTGTTTGTTTTTTGTTTTGTTTTTTGTTTTCTTAAAGAGCTGCAAATAATAAATCAGAAGGGCTTTCGGGCTGATAGGGCTCATACAAGTCATTCCTGTTTGCTTGCAGTCAGCACAGCGTTGCAATGTTTTCTTTGTTAGCATCAAGAATGAACTTTCTTGATAAAAGCCGTGCCAAGCACAGGCTGAAATAAGAAATGCGTTTTTATACTGAAACGACAACACCAGGTGATTACTCCATTTTCTCTCCAGAAGGATGTGGATTGCAAACGTATTTTTTTCGGAGTTGCCCGTACGCCCGTTTCTGCTTCCAATAAAGAAGTTTTACTGTACCTCTCAAAGGCAGAGCAGCCGCTGCGCTTTACCTTAGCAGGCTGCAGACAGGAAGTCCGTCTCAATAAAGACCATATTGTTCAGTTATGGCATAGCACATTGGGCTTATAACTGCATCCTCACAGCGTTTGGGCTGTGTCACCGCAGACCCTGCTTTGCAATGTGCTGAGGTCCAGTGCGCCGTTTGCTGCTGTCAGTTGGCACAACTGGAGGCTTGCACTGCTGTGAGCAGCGGTGCTCCAGAAATACATTTCTAGCTAACGGGTTTCGAGTGTGCGCAATGCTGAAGTGCAGCCTCAAAACAAAATGATTTACTGTCTAACAATAAAGCTGAAATGATGTGGTAATAGTTGTACTCCCAAAGCGTATCCCAAAACATACGGAGCATTGTTCAAGTGAATGCACTTCTGAAATCTGTTTTGACATATCGAATGGGCCGTTTCATGGCTGTGTAACTGGAATCGGCAGAAAGGACTCAGTGGGCTAAAGGGAAGAACGGGGAAAATCCCACGAAGCGGTTCCTTGTCCTAAACAGCCCTTCCCCACTCTGTTTCGCATTAAAAGTGACCTTTCTCTTTCCATGTTCAGGCGGATGTTTCCCGCAATGAGAGTGAAGATCTCAGGTTTAGACCCCCATCAGCAGTATTACATCGCCATGGATATTGTGCCAGTGGATAACAAAAGATACAGGTACGGTGGCTTTCAGGTAGAAGACCTATGATGTGCGCCTTGGGAATCCTAGCTATTGTAAGGCAATATTAACAGCATATAAATTAGCAAAAGGTGGTGTTCAGCTCTCCTTCAGATTCCTGTTGTCAAACTGGGACGTTAAAAAAAAAAAAACACAAAAATCAGTGTGCCAAGTGTGCAGAACTAACTGGAGTGTTGCTGGAGCAATGCGTACCTTTGGCTCATGCTGTACATGTGCTGTGGGCAAGCACTCCATTCTTTGCTTTTGCAGACCGTGCTTGTGGTACAGTTATCCTGTTCTCCTGTGTTTTTCCTTATCATGTCACTGGGAATTATTTCCTGTTAACACATAGATAGGAAAATGCTCCATTTTCTAGCATTAAATGGCAACAACAAGAAAACATTCTTGCATCAACCTCTGACTGAATGGCCATAGAATGTAATGCGCATGAGCTTTCTTGGTTGTGCTTTGAAGTGATTCTTTCTTTTACTTCAGTAGCAGTTTATCACTGAGATATCTGTCTGCTTAGATTCACAAAGGGTAGTGCTTCTAATTACTATTAAAAAAGAACAAATTGATGGCATCTGAAATATAATATGATGAACAAAAGTAGTTGTTCTTCCAGCATTTGAGAGTGGGAACGATAAGCTAAAGCTCTGACTGCTGTGAAGACAGCTATAGTTCCAGAGTGCATGTTGGGCTGTGTTGAAGCCCTCCTCCTGTAGCAGTGGTAGCAGGATTGGGCCCGCAGCAGTCACTGCGACTTGGGGATGTTTGTGTGCTGTGCTTCACAAACGTGCTCCCACTCTCCGTGCAGCCAAGTGGTTCAGTGGAGGCAGGAGTGGGCCCCTACCAGTGCTGTTTTGATTGTTTCAACCCCGTACTTAGTGTAATTTATGGGAAACCGCTGCCGATTTAATTGTAGAAGTCAGAATATTTCAGACTGGGACTAAAAGGTTGGTTCGTCAGGAACGCCTCCTTGTTTCCTTAACAAACAGCACCCTATGTTTTTTGCATGTCCTTACCTCACTGACTGTAATTTTGCCCTTTTATCATGTGGTATGTAAGCAATTTCTTACTACTGCTTTTGATTTTGTTTTTCAGCAAGGTGCAGGTAGAAATGCTGAGCATGTCCAGTGCACAACACTTTTCTGGCTGTATTGTAGGGGATTTATTTTTTTCCTTCCCTTCGAACAGAGCAGGTGCAGCTGAAATAAAACTTAGTGTTGCATTTACTTAGTGATCTAAGGATCTCCTTCCTAAAAGGTCTGATCACCTTCTTAACTCGGAGGAAGAGAATGTAAATAGTTCAAATTGAACAAAAACGTTCATATTAAAAAAAGTTACGCGGCATATGAGTTGTTTAAAGTGAACTGTGTTTAAAATAAATACTTCCATGCTGGTCTGAGCTGTCTGCGCAGTGAGGTATGTGGTCCCCAGATAAGAGAAGTAACTTAATGTTGTCTGCTGGGCAGTATTGTTGTAGTTGGCAAACTTAAATTTCTGCAATCATATTTGAGTACCATGTATTTAATTTTCCTACTGGATGTTACTGTTGATTCCCATTTTCATTGTTTGGTATGCAGTCTATACATTCATTTTTAAGTTATTTAACTTGTGCTGCTCACATGGCTTTGAAAGCTGATTGTCTTGCAGATGCAACAGCAGCCTTACACTGAGCCTAGACTTAAACTGTCATAGCAGATAGCAAAACTACACAGGAATGAAGAAAATTGAACCTAGGTCTAGATTCCTAGCAAAATTGGACTTCATTGTAAATATTAGGAAGCTTAAACTGTTGTCATAAACATAAAATATTCAGAATATTATTTACTTTTGTAGGAAAATATATATATATTATAAAACAACAAGTTTTATAAACAAAACAAATAAATGGCAAAATGTCACAACAGTTGACTGCATGGTTTAGGATTGAGAACTTGTCTCCAGATAGGATTTGGGGGAGGATTTTACCGCTGTACTGAATTTTACAGCTTGATAGGGGCTGTATGAAAGGATGTGTGCATTGCATCATTTTAATTTCTGATTGTTGTTTAGCTGTTTCTACTTTGGAACCAAATTGTACAAACATATGATACTCTTTCATGATTTTTTTTTTAAAATACGACTGGTTTACAGGAATTTTACTGTTGTTGGAAAAAAAGACCTCAGCATTTTTATTTATCACTTTTTAAAATTGCCTTATGAAGTACCTGCCTTCAAAGTAAGTTTTCTACCAAAGCAGGCACTGCTTGTATGAGAAAGAGATTTTGTCAGTACTGGCCTATCAGATGAAATACAAGATGTGTTTTTTCATTTTCAAGCCTTTCTGTGATAGTATTCAGGAAAAATAAGATGGTCTTGCAGAAATATCTAGAGCATAGTTTGACATAGCTTCATTGTTTTTCCTAATCATAGTGTTCTTTGCCTTCAATATTTTTTATTTATAGACTCTTATACGAGACTCAACATGTTAAATCTTCCAAATATGGAATTTCTACTTGATTTGATAAATGAAGGACCGTATTCTGCCCTGTTTGCTGTTGATTTTTCAGAGTGGAACTGTATAGTCTATGACTTGACACCAGCTTAAACCTCAGCACAGAGGCTAGCGTAAAGGCTATTACGAGCTTTAGGAAGGCTCATTTTCAATGAGAGCAGTTTTTTAACCTTCCTCTTCCACATAGCAGACATGTCTTTTGGAACTAAAATAATCACATTTATTTTGCTTTCATGCTAGTTAATTGATGGGCTCTTGCTGTAGTTGTATGGACCTTAACGTATTAATTCAGACTGGGTCTGATAAATAAGTCCAGGTTTTGTGGTGAGAGATGTTTGCTCTCTTTTTGCAGATATGTTTATCATAGCTCCAAGTGGATGGTGGCCGGCAACGCTGACTCCCCAGTACCGCCTCGTGTTTATATTCACCCCGATTCACCTGCCTCTGGGGAGACGTGGATGAGACAAGTGATCAGCTTTGACAAACTAAAGCTCACCAATAATGAACTTGATGATCAAGGGCATGTGAGTACTTGCTCTTTTACGGTATGATATGTAGATGATTGCTCAGCCCTGCAGGACTCTGACATACAGCTTCAGGGTGCCAGAAATAGGCATGACTTTTCAAAGCTGTTTTGGAACTTTACCGTCCAGATCTGAAATCTGCTTACTTTCCACTCTGATAATTAACTGCTTATTAGAGCCTGCTGTTTTACTCCCCCCTCAAAAATAAAACTCCTTCTGCAAAGTCAGACTTTACAAGGCTAAATTGCCTAATACGAAGGGGCAGAATTGCTCTAATGTTTTCCCACCAAGTGTGGTACTTGCAACTTCTGCTCTGATCAAAAAGTACGTTTAAATTCACAAGTCGCTAGGAGAAACATTAATAGTGTGTAATAACTTCATGTGAATAAAAATACACTTAACTATTTTCTTAACCTAAACATTTGTGTGAAATCCCATGAGGTGTTAATAATTGCAGTCAAAAACGAACAACATGGGAGCTGGGTTCACTCCGATAATGATTTATTGCATACCTTATGAAGCGAGACCCTTTCACAGCTGAGGCTCATTACTTCTGAAAAACTGGCGAAGACGTATGCAGTATGAGTGTTCTGTTTGCAAGTTCTAAATTGTTTAGTTATGACATTATCTAATGTGACAAAATGTGTTATGTTAATATTTCCTTTTCTCTTCAAAACTGTTGAAACATGACAGATGTAAGCCAGTATCTTTCCAGCAATTCCTAAAATAGTTTCATTTGACACCTTAGGAAATAATTAAAAAATGAGAATTGTTTTTAGTCAGAGCAAAGTCTTTAATTTTGGAAAAATCCAGTAATAAATCTCAAACGTAGGCTTACTTTCAAAAGGAGCATTGAATTCCAAGGGGTAGAGTTTTGAGATCTAAGAGGCAAGTTTTGAGACAAGATGTGGATTCCATTGCCCTTAATGTAGTGCAGTTTATTAAGCAAACGGGATGCTTTCCCCTTCACGGACGGGAGTGAAAGAAAACATACCTGGCACAGGGTGCAAAGATACTGCACGCATCTTCCAGTATAGTTGAACTCTGAGCCAAGAATTTAGTGAACGTGTATTCTGAGTATGCCACTTGTTTCCCCATTTCTGCTTGCAAAGGAGATTGTCTTGGAGCTGTGGTCAAATTGTGCAGGAGTTTAAACTTTTAAGTTACGTACCCAGGAACATGGGAGACAGGCTAGACTGAGCGAACTTGCGTGATAGTGAGAATGAAGAGTGTCCCCTGCATACAGTGCTGTTTGTAATTGTGTTACCCATATTCTTCTTAAAGGAAGAGTGTATTTGTATCTTTTGAGTTAGCGGCACTTTTGTTCAGGATTGTAGAGAAGATATTGTGCGTCGCTTGTTTCCAGAGTTGCAGTTAGGGAGTCTCAGTTGGCAGTGTTTAAGTCTTCACACAGATAGTCATGTTAGTTTCCCAGTGACTGTGCGTTTGAGACCTTCCTTGGGTGCGAGTTGCATTCTCTGAGTCCAGAGTTTGTTGTAAAGTCTTCATAAAAGGAAGCAGATGCGAATGGGTAGAATGTTGCTTCTCCAATTGAGAGCTGGTCCTTGTACTCGGTGGTCTCCAAGCAGCAAAATATGGATGCAGGAGTCTACCCAAGCATATGCAGCCGTGGAATACTCCATTATGAATTCTAGAGTAAGTAGAAAACTGCACTGTTATATGTTTCCATCCCAGATCCTAGCTTTATTTTTCTTCAGAACTGAAACCTGCATAGTGTACACAGCACACCATTATTCATAATGCAAGGGGATATAAATTTTCTGGTCTTTAGTGAAGTGTTTCGATTTGGAAATGAGTGAAGCAAAGCTCTAGTGCAGTGATTTGGGACACATTGAACTGATTCAAAGCTATGGCAGCACCCCTCCTCCTCAAAATGGAAATTTAAGTATTAAAATAAAAGGACAAAAGAAGGATGACTGCAAAATAATTTCATATTTCTTAAATCTGGGAAATTGCAAACATGTCATTCATAATTACCAGAAAAGGCAAAAGCAGAAAGCAGAAAAGTGTCTTTTCCAATGGGTACATATTTTCTTTTAAAGCTATGGTAGTGTGGAATGCTGTATTGAAAAAGCTATGTAGACTCCGAACGCCTCCAGCAACAATGGAAAACGAATAATCCTATTTTGTGATGAATATAAAAAAGCAATTGTTTCTCATAAGCAGGAAGAAACCATTTTTCTCAAGAGGGTACCGGAGGAGGGATGGTGGATTAGAGGAACTGGGGTCAAGACCATACTGTCCCTAGAATGTTTGTTTTTATGTCAGGTGCTGAGTCTCCCACCTCTATTGTGGGAGGTGGGGTGTGGTTAACATTACTAGACAGCTTTTTTTTTTTCCTCCTGCTTAAAAAGAATGGCTCAGGGAAGCCTCCATGGGTGCTGTGCACTCTGCCTTCCTTCCTCCAATGGCACAAGCAGTATCGGGATTTAGCTGCTCTTTTGGTATATGTTTCATGCTGCCTGGTTCTGATATTTCAATCCTTGCTGAAATCTTTCCTTTATTCTCCCTATGCTCCCTGAAGGTGTCAGTTTTTGCAGAGTGTTTGTGTTAAAATCCTGGGGCTTGGTTTTGACCTTGCACATGTGAATTTCTGTTGAGGTCAGGAGTTTGTGTGAGCTCAACCCAGAGCCCTTTTACCGGAGCACTAACTCCCAGAGCCACTGACAGAAGTGACTCATGCTCATGGGAACGGTGGCTGTGTTTGCAAACAGATGCTCAGGTAGTATTTCTGTGTGGTATTTATGTGGCGGTAGTAACTGACGGCAGCCAGCTTGCCTTGTGCTGCATGGGCCCTGCAGCAAATGGCCCCATTGACCTGGTGTTAGCTTCTTGTTCAGAGAACTGGCCATTTTTGAGGCAGCTCGCTTGGCTGCTCAGTCACTCTTTGGGCTTCTTGCTGCCTTCTGCTGTTTGCGTCAGTGTTTTGAGTGGGTGTTTGCGACAACAAGATTTTATAGTGCTGTTCTGTGGAGGGATTTTGAAGTGCATCTGCACGTAGGACGTTCTGATATGTGAGTTCCCCTTGCAGGCTGAGGAGATCAAGCAGGATTTGTAAGGAGATGTTTCCTGGTGTAGTTTTGATCTCAGAAGAGAGGCCCAGAGCAAATTCCTACTTTGGAAAGATTGTGTGCCTATACAGATGTTAAAGCCAGATCAGATCATTGAGACACGTACAGTATGGCATTCTTGTCTTTTGTCTGAGTTGTTAGGATGTAAGTAAAAGAAAGGAAAGAAAAGTAAAGAAAGAAAAGTAAATCTGTGTCTTGCAGTTGATGTTGAGATTGGGTCGCTCACGGTTGGTTGCTGTTTGTCTCATGAGTCAGTGCCTCTTGCTTCCAGAGTGGGAAATAATTGCTGTGTTATAAAATGGGTCTCTCTGTCTAATTTGAGCTGGACAATTTTTCTGTTTTAATGCAGCTTTATGGCTGAGTTTGAACACAGGGCAAAAGCCATTATTTTGGTATTGTTTTCTGTGCTTTTCAACTAAATGCTTTATGATGCTGAGGAACATCTAACTTTGAGTGAAAATGAGGCCGTTAGTGTGTTAATTGTTCTATGGGTGTTCAGAAGATTTTACCTCCTCAATTTGAAAGTGGGGTTAGGCTGGAGGCTGTGGTTGGTTTTTGCCCTTCCTGGCTGTGGCTTTGAGCACCAAGCTCTGCTTGCTGTCATTGGGTCCCTGTGGGTTTGTCATGGTGAAAATCTGGAAAATATCAGCACTTGCAGTTCCTCTTTGTGAGGAGAAAATTATTCTTCCACACATCTCCCTGACTGCAGAAAGCCTGACCACATGGGCTTTGCTTGATAAAGGAAGGTTTTTGGAGACCACAGCAGTGAGGTGAGGACAATGCCACCATGCCGTAGGAGAACTGTGACGTCTGTCTCATGGCAGTACCTAGGGTGAGAGCCAGCATTGAGGCCTCATCGTGATAGCTCCTTTCCATACACCTACTGTGAGATTACTCTAGACAGATTAAGTTTTGTGTGTCCATGAGTGCTGTGTTCGTTACTCCACGCTGCTTCCGTGTTGTTGTGGCCTTCACTCTGCAGGGCTCCTGCCTCCTCCTTGAGCTCAAGCCGATAGTAATGGCAGGGCAACTGCCCTGGTCCGAGTGCCACAACTCTGAGGACTTGCACTGTCAAAACAGAGAGGTTTACTGCCCTGGGAAGTGATGGCATGGTGCTGGTGCGCAGTATCCCTGTTGGCTCTCACTGTGCTGTTTGCCCACACCTACTGAGGAAAGGTGAAGGGCTTGAGTGTGAAGCCTTGATATATGTGGGAAACAATGGCTGCTTTATAGAAGTATGGGAGTGAAACTTGTGTTTGATAAACAGGAATTTTGCTTGGTAAGTATTAGGGCATGTTAGAAAACAGCCCCCTTGCTGTTGCTGCATGCTTAGGGAAGCTGCCAATCCGTGAGTAAGGAGTAAAATGTTGCTGTGCTGCCTCAGGAGCAGCTCGGAAAAGAACCTGAGACAAAGCCTTTCCCTGTGCTTGTCCTGGGAGGGAGGAAGCCATGCTTAGCGTTCCTCAGTTGTGGTGGTGCAGCTGTGGGGAAGGCTGGAAGGAGGGAGCCTCACGGCAAGGGTGCAGGCACTGCTCTGCTTTGTGCCCTGCCTGGGCTCAGTTCTGCACCAGGCTTTCGGAGTGGGTACTGCACCCGCTTTCCTTCCTCACCCTGTCTGCATAGTGTTACTGCTCTCCATGTGGTGTTCATCTCCCTGCTCCTGTAACTTTGCTTGTTCTGATACATGAACCAAGTTGATTGCAGCTGCATGGATTTTCACTGCATAGAGGCAAGTGTGCATGCTCGGTTCTGCACAGGTAGATGGCAAGATACAAAGTAGTAATGAACTCAAATGGTGGAAAAGGGTTTACTTGATGGAGTTTTTTCTGTGGCACCAGTACCTTCCTTGGTATCACTGGGTATTCATAGGAAAACGGGATCAAGAATGTGTTACTCTCGCTACGTTTTCATTTTGTTGATCTTTGCCCTCAGAGAGCTGAAAGCATAGTTGTAAAAAGAATGCACATTTGCTTATGCAAGATTTCAGAAACTAGGGAAAGGCCTCTTATGAGAACATCCACAGGGCACTCCCTGAGCAAATTAATTGAAGCCTGTGATGTCATCGTCAAAGCCTTACATGCAGGCTAATAAAAAACATGATTATCCAGAAACTTGGCGTATCTAAAATGGGGTCATGTCTTTTGGCCAGGACCAAGTGTATTAAACTAGCCAAACTCTAGGTTAGCCAAATGAATGCAATGTCCTCTATGTCATTTGGATGAATGAGCTTCCATGGTATCTGGCATTCAGGCATAAAGGCTCTGTCAAGTCCTTGAGCACATACATATTCTGAGGCCACTCATGGAGCAGGAAATGAAAAAACTTCCCCTGAATTTTGATTAGGGGTTGCACAGGCCAGTAGCCATAGGGCTACTTATTTATCAAGTTATTAATTTATTTGACCTTCCAAAAATAATAGCTGAGCTTCAGTTCTTTTTTTTTTTTTTCTTCTTGAAATCTTCTTTTTGGTGTTTTTAGCTGCAAGTGGAATAGAAAAAATAGAGGAAAAAAAAATGTATGTTAAATTTCCTCTAGAATTTGGGAACAATACCAACAACTATTTTTGCTTAACTTTACTCACTATGAGTTTGTGTAGTTCTTGTTTATTCTTACTTGAGCTTTTGTATGCTGGGAGGGATTTGGGTATTGATGTTCATTGCCTGTATAAGTATTACAAACCTAGGGTTACTAACTCTTTAGAGTTCTGGGTTTTGGTGTTATTTTACTTTGGTGTTATTTGGTTCAGAGTATGAGACTCTTGGAATTTGTTCAAAACAAGACACATTTCCAGCCTTCTGCATATCAGGAAGAAAAATGCTCTAAGCATGACCTGAGGGCTCTGAAAACAAACGGCAAATGCTGCTGTTGTTAATCGTGTTAGATCAAATCCAGGCTCAAGTGGGGGGAAAAAAAAAGCAATGAAACTCTCCTAATTCCAGTGGGACCAGGACTTCACTCCCCCCACTTTTTTTTAAGCCAGTTTCCTGATTTTGCAGTTCCCAAGTCATATTTTTTTAAATGCTTGGAGTTGGCAATAACATAAATGCACAGAGAGTAGACTACTGTAATAAGAACCTTCAGAGGTTAAAGAAAACATTTGATTTCCAGTAAGTGGCATGGTAAACACATGCCCTAATCTGTTCCAAAAAACCATTAGTCCTGGAGCAGCAGGGTGTCCTTTCTAATAAATGTTATCTTTTCCTTTCATTTTGACTGCATAGATTATCCTTCACTCTATGCATAAATACCAGCCTCGTGTCCACATCATCCGAAAAGACTGTGGAGATGATCTGTCCCCGATCAAGCCTATCCCTTCGGGAGAAGGAGTCAAAGCGTTCTCCTTTCCAGAGACAGTTTTCACCACTGTCACAGCATACCAAAATCAACAGGTAACTTGGACTTTCTGCTTAGCACTTGACAGGCTTCTCAGAGTAGACAGGAAAAAAGAAGATATGTTGCTTATATCACCAAAAAGCATTGTCTAAACCCCTTGTTATATTACAAGCAACTTTCACTTGTAGTATTGCAGCAGCGCCCAGAGGCAATAGCTGAGACTTCAGTCCATATGGGCTAGATGATGCGTATAAGAAGTAATTTTTTTAATGGTGATCTCACAGTTTTAAGTTGACAGCATTAAAGTTAATAGGGTCTTAATTATAAATGTGGCACTGAAACAGAAGGCGAGGAGGAGTCTGAATTTTAAAGGTACTTCTGAATGTAGATAAGTGATCAGATGTTCAAGCATTTTGAGCCTGACTCCAGTTATGTCAAAAGTCTGTCTGAATAGGGTGCCCCACAATCTTAAGGGGGGAGCTGAGGTCTGAAAAAAGCTGCAGTAATTATCATTAACTGGATTCAGCGTACGTATTATTAACATATTATTTATCTGGGTCCATACATGCTCAAAGTCAAAACTAAATTGCAGTTGGCCTGACTGCAGCGTTTGGCTCTTATTACTACTTGTTTAAGTATTAATGTACAGAGTGACACTATGTTTAGTGCTGTGATATTTGTTAACTCCATTTAAGAAATTACAGTATATTTTGGGAAATTATATATGCCTTGTCATCTTTGCAAAGGGATAACCGTATAAATAGACTGAAATAAATAATGAAACTTAATTATTTGGTGTTTACGCTGTTCATTTAAGTAAATTACAAGCATCTTTTTTTTCCCCCCGTTTTATTTTTTTTAATAGAACACAACAGCCTAGTGATAATCTCTCTTTTCACATTTCCTTCTTAACCCACACAGAAATAAAATTTAATTTAAATTTTATTGCAATTAGGCAGTGTACTCTCTTAGGTGAAGAATGACATTTGCCAGAAGATTTTCCTTGAGAATTCCAACCTGCCATTTAGTAACATTAAATACCTATTAGCTTCTCTGGGGATTTGCAAAAATAATGGCCAGAAGACTTGGCCTTATTTTGGTGCCTTGAACCATGCAAATGGTAAGATGTTTCTGCTTTAAGTGTCAGGAGCTAGGATACTTCACTGAGTCATTTTTTGTATTACTTACCTGAATTTGCAGATGTTAATTTCTTTCATCATCTTCACAGATAACTCGTCTGAAGATTGACAGGAATCCATTTGCCAAAGGGTTTAGAGATTCAGGACGTAACAGGTAGGTGCTTGTTGTTGCTGACAGAGCCAGTTTGTGAAGGCTGGCAGTAGATGTCCTTCCTACCTAGGGGAATACTTGTATTTACAGACAAATGAGTCTAAGGACTTGGGCTCCCTGAGGAAGCTTAGGCTTCCCATTAGTGTTCTCAGTGGTGGCTTCCTGTTCCTCCTCCTCTGACCCTCTAGATCATGAACTGATTGGCATGTGGCTTGACACATGTACTCAGGTATCCTTTCATTGGAAACTGCAGCATACTGTGAAGGCTGAAAATTGAATTAATGCAGACTAAAGTCTGTGATTTTTGAGGTTAAGACCAGAGTGTGCTGCAGGACAGGAGTAGGAAAGTATGTACAGCCAAGGGAACTGTGTCACTGTGGTGCTGGAAGCTGTAATCTTTGGGTGTGGCAGTGAATGTGTAGGTAATGATACTGACCTGGGCATGGGAATTCTCCAAAGCCAGCAGACACGGGTAGGGAGAGAGTGTGGCTGGCCAGCAGAAGAGGCTGCTCCTGAAGTCTCCCTCCTGTCTAGAGACACAAAATGAAGATATGAATATCCATCTCCTGCATGTGAGTGGTGGTAGGATAGAGTGGTTCCTTTTCTCTTGAAGAGGGAGAATCTTGTTTCCCTCCTGCAATAACCTGATGTTTATTATGCATGCTTAGGAGGCTGGAGACTTGTGTCAAAGTATTTCTATTGCTTGAAGAGTTTTAAATCCACTGCCCAGGTGAATGCTTTTCTTACTAGGCTAGTCTTACTAGACGACCTTGAAGCAGACCTGGTTTCCACCTTTTCTGTTGCAGTTGGACTGATTAATTGTTTGCTCTTACTTGATCCTCTATTTTTTCAAAATAGCAATAGAGAATCCGAGTAGTTGGAGACCTAGTCTCTGCTGCCAGAACTGATGAGGTATTTTATGCAAAGATTGTTCAGTGCAAAATACTTAAGCCTGTTACGAATTGCGTGTTCAAGCATTTCAGCTAAAAAAAGCAGCATTTAATTGCGGTGCATAGTATACATCAGTTCCAGTGACCACTTTGCGTTTGCTGTCTACAGCTGCTATATTTATGATCTAGCCTTCCAGAAAAGAGAGCAGACTGTGCTCTGGTAGGAATGTTCAGAGAGTATCTTTTGTTGGCTGCTTTACTGAGCTTTTCTTTCAGCAGAGGCTGCAGCTTTAAAGACCATTTTGTTCTTCCACCTGAATTAACTGAATACTGAGACTGGACAGCAAACAAGATTATTTTCTAGAAGATTAACATTTTTAGAAGGGATGGGGTTATAAAAATTTACAGGAGTACACTGCAAGTATCTTCTCAGTTTGCTGTCCATATTTGCTGCTTTCTAAGATTTTTGTCTTCTATCAAGAAACAATTGGCCATACCCTGTCCTGACGCCTGGAAAGAATGTTCCAGCCCCTGGCATAAACAGACATTCACCCTCTTTTGTTACTTTGTATTTTGCATTTAAATTAACAGTAACTTCCAGATAAGTACAGTGACTAAAGAAGCAAAATTTGGTTTGTGTACTTGAAAAATTGCTCTGTATGTGCAACCGTGCAAATCTAGTTATTGTACTGAGGCTGTCCAGAGATGTTTTTTGGTTTAGCTTCTAGGAATCATTTGGGTTCAGGCATTAAAAATAAATGTGTTTTTGAATGGAAAAACAGTTCTAGTCCATTTCTGTAAACTATGAAGCCTGTGTTGTAGAAGTGTGTTTTGGAATTGGCTTTAGATAAGTTCTGAAAGCTTTTACTGTAATAAATGCACTCATTTCGGAAGTGTCTCTGCATACTCTGTTGCAAAGAGGCATTATTTTTGCTGAAATTAGTATTGCTGGTTTCACTGATAGGCTTCACAGCACTGAATAACTATGCTTGCGCATGCAGCTTATTTTCAAATTTTTGAGGACAGCACTAGTTTACTCAACTGATTAATAGTTTACTCTGTTACCAAACACAAAAATTACGAGGTCTGCCACAAAAGTAATGCCTCCTATTTTATTATGTTGACCCATGATGTCAGAGCCAATGGTGGTGGTATGGCATTAGAGGCTGAACCTTCCCAGCAATATTCCATTGCATTTTGTTGCTCTGCGATACATGGCAGCAAAGAGGCAGTCTGACAAAATGGCATCTGACATGGAATTATGGATAAAGCAAGGTTATGGAGTTGAATTCCTCCATGTAGAAAACATAACACCCACTGACATTCATTGGTTCCTGCTGAATGTTTATGGAGGCCAGTGTGTGTAAGCACAGTGAGGTGGTGCATTTCAGCAGTGATGACAGCAGCATGAAAGTCAAGAAACCCTTTGGGTGGCTGTCATGCCACAAAATGGAGAGCATTTCGATCAACTCATCCACACAAATTAGTGGGTTATGACCAGATTGCTGTGTATGGAGCTGAATATCACTTTCAGTGCTCTGGAAACAATGGTTGCAGTGATGGAATATCACAAAGATTGTGCCAGGGTGGTCCCTGGTGAGGCTGAAGGTGACAGTTTCCTGAATTGTATTTTTACCAGTGATGAGATGTGCTGCTACCACTATGAGCCAGAGTCAAAATGAAAGTCGGTGGAGTGGTGGCATGAGGAAGATGTTCAAGATGCAGCCCTCAGTGGGTGAAGTGATATACACTGTTTTTCTTGCAATAGGAAAGAAGTGATCCTTCTGGATTTCTTGGAACCCCGGTAAACAGTCAGCTCTGACTGCTGTATCGTAACAGTGACTCTGCTGAAGGCTCCAACTTCCAGTGTAAGGCCGAAGAAGAAGACAACCTTTCTCTTGGAACACAATAATACCAGGCCCTATTACAATCTCAAGATCATATAGCAAATTGCCAGTCTTGGCTGAACTGTCCTACCATACCCACCATATATAGACCAGATTTGGCACTTTCCAGCTTCCATCTGTTTGAGCAGAAGAAAAATGGGCTGCCATCATAGTAGCTGTGAATCAGTGGGTTATCTTCACTGGTGCAGATGTGTGTGAGCACAGCATGATGGCTCCTATTCATCTCTGGCAAAAATACATAGATAATGGTGGTGACTATGTTAAAAATGATGTTTTGTAGCTGAGAATTTTCTCTGACAAATAGTTTTATTGTGTTCATCGTTGTAATTTTCATGGAAATAAATAGGAGGCATTACTTTTGGAGTGACTTACGTAAATATTAAGATTTCTATCTTTGTAGATCTAGCTGTTCTACTTCTCATCTACGCATTTTAGTTTGCAAGAAAAGTAGGAAGGGCTGCACACTAGTATTTAAATTTTCAAGGTTGCTTTAGTTACTGTGACTATCTTAATTAAAACTATTCCCTTTCAGGTCATTCTCTTTAAGTTCTACAGGTATTTTTACAGAAATCAGTAGCTTCACCTTTTAAAAGTGCTCCCTGTACATTTGCAAAGTGCAACAGAATTTATGTGCTGAGAATTGCTTCATTCTTCAGTTAGGCCTTGCATTTGACCCTATAAAAACTTTTACTCAGGAAAGGTCCAGAATTTCTCTCTTTAAATGCTTCAGGAAAAACATAACTGTTTTGTTAAATAAACTTGGCTATTTGATAGCGCAAATTAGAGCGGTGATAAAATGTGGAAATTGTTCGAAAGCATCTTGTATAAATTATCACCTTGGCTACACTCCTCCAGGAGGTGGCTTTTATCTCCACTTTAACTAGAATTGAAAATTCACCATTACTGCAGAAAATGAAGGCTATCTTTTTAGTTGAGGTTAAGCTAATAAATGCTTTATAACCATTTCCTGGAATACATTTGTGATCCTGCTGGAAATGCAGTGTGGAAGAGGCAGTATCAGAAGAACTTGTTGGTAGCTTCAAATTGAGCTGTTTGCATAATTCTAGTTTACAAAATTTTGCTGCTCTAAGGCAGGCATTCGTCGTTGATATGTACCTGGTGCTGACACTTAACAGGCCTTTGGGGCTCAAATGCCAAAAATAATTGCAAAACTATAACTTGTAGCTGCATTATGTACAAAATTCTGTGAGAAAGCGTATGAGCCTTTACTTTCTGGACATAGAGATTCTTCTAAATACGATCTGCTGTGACTGTGTAGGTAGTTATTTTTGTTTTGTTGTGAGACCATTGAAGGAGAATTATTCAAGATCTTTAGTTTCTGAAGGCATTTTGCTCAGTGCCTTATGACTGAGAGACAACATTGCTTTATGTATTCTAGTTGCAAAAGAGCTGTACGCCCATGCATTGCTCACAATGTGTGTGTGATTGTCCAACTCATCAAGTCCAGTTTCAGTAATTGTCAGTTGATCACCTTTGCTCTAGTCAGAAATAGGAGATTGCTACTCTGGTAATTAAAGCAGCTGCTTTTAAGGAAATGTCACGGTAGGAAAACCTTTAATATCATTGCAGCCAGCTCCACTCAAAAAAAAAAAAAAAAATAAAAATCAAAGTAGAGGAGCGGACTTGTGGAAGTGGGAAACTCTTTGCAGGCTATTAGTCCAATGATTGCAATCACAACAGTCTTGTGGGTTAGCATGTAAGACTTCTAAAAAGCAAAATGAATTGGAAAATAATGAACTTATTCTGAAATGCTGATTATTTTTCTGTGTTTTTGAAATAAAGTATATAGAAGAATGTGACAAAATACAGCTTTCTATCATGATGCCATGATGTTTTTTGTTCTCAATAGAATGGGACTGGAAGCTTTGGTGGAGTCTTACGCCTTCTGGAGACCTTCACTTCGGACACTTACATTTGAAGATATACCTGGGATACCTAAACAAGGTAATAGTCTTTGTGTTTTTTCCAAAACAAAAGATAAATATAAAATTCTTTATGTCCATCATTCCTTACTAAAATCAAGATGAGTGTGCCACCTACGTAAAAAGTGGCCAACTAACCCCACTGGCAGCCATTTCCTCTCATTGGAATTAATTGAAGTTACAAAAAAAGCGCTAACTTAAGCACTGTGACAGTAAAAGTGTTATAAAGATAAATCAGATCACACATGGAGGAAGATGAGTTACTTAAGGGCAGAATAAACTCTTATCTGGGATTATGCTCTAGCTATGTACACAAGGCAGAGTTTATTTATGAGTGACTTCAATTGTAAACATCCAAACTCAAATGTGGGAATTACTTGTGTGTTTAAGATTTAAAAAAAAAAAAAAAGGAATGAAAGAATAGGTGTTATCTGAATCTACTGAATAAATACTTCTAAGTTTAATTGCGTTCTTTGGAAAGCCTTGATTCTTAAAGACCAATTGTTTAGTGAAAGTCCTACAAACTTTTTTCACATCCTAGAGCTTGAACATTTTTTTTTCAAGGAGCTCTCTCCTGTGCTCTAGTCAATAGTCTCTTGGCTTTAGCTTTCCTATCATAGAGATAGTGCTGTGGAGGAGAGATGGGCTTTTAAATGGCCTGTTCAGACACAGAGAAGTATCTCTGTACTCTTTTCTGAATTCCTTTATTTCCAGGGCATACTTATGCATATAACCTTTCAGTTTTTTCTCACCTAAATCAGATTTGCTCTTGGTTTGTTACTTTTCCTACTATCAAATTTACAAACGTCCTACCTACTTTCTTTTTCCTCAGACAATGTTCTGGCATATACTATCAAGAAATAACAAAAGAAAAGGAAAAAAAAATAAAAATACAGAAACACACAGAAATCACTTTTCTCAGTTTTTCCTTAGTCCTCTCCTTTGATGAATCTTCAGCATAAGTGCTTGATATGAGCAGTTAAAAATAACTTTTTGTGCAAAGTCACAGATACTTGGGATGAATATGGGCAAATTTTTAGGCAGAGGGTGGTTGTGAGGGTGCTTTTAAAGGATGCTTTTAAAGAGTGCTTTTAAAAATGCCTAGGAGACAATAATATCAGACCTTGTCCAATTGTGTAAGACTGATGAGTAACTCACTATGAAGTTCTCCTGTTTCTCCTGTCCAGGGGCAGATTGGCTCTGTTGCCACCCGTTTGTACACTTTTGGAGAGCAGGCAAACTGCAGCCATAAGCTTTCCCTTCTACTGTAGCCTGAGGTCAAGGATCTTATTGAAGTATTCTCTACTGATGAGAGAATAAAAACTACAATCCTTGCAAAATCATTAATGTGCCTTGGACAGTAGAGTGATTTAGAGCTTAGGCCAAAAGACTTGGTGAAAGACCCCACTAGAACTTTGTCCCAGTTTTAATGTGGACATCTTCAGACAGTGAAGTTGTTGATGTAGAATCATTAAATTTGGAAAATACCACCATGATAAGCTGTCAACCCATAACCATCCTGCTCACTAACCATGTCCCTCAGTGTCACATCTCCATGTTTCTTGAATCCTCCAGGGACAAGGACTCCACCACTTCCCTAGACAGCCTGTTTCAATGCATTACTGCTCTTTCTGAGAAGAAATTTTTCCTAATATCCACCCTGAGATTGTAGGATTTCTGGGGTGTGGAGCTATCTCATAATGTTTTGTGCATGGTTGTTTTTTTTTTTTTTGTCAGTAGAAAAGCAGGAGGCAGACTTCACTTTAAACTTACTTTTCCTTTTTTAGCTCACCTATCATGAAAACCTGTTAACTTACTGGCAGTGTGTATCTCTGCATCACAAGTTGTCTGATTGTTAATGTGAATCACAATCAGGAATGTCTTCTTTGCTATGTGACTTTGTCCTGGGAGGCTGTAAAAGATCCAAATCCATTTTTCTACATTCACTTTCCCAAGAAATACATTTTTTAAGACAAAGATTTTCTTGCAGCTGGGAAACTTTCAGTCCTCAGAAGATACTTCACCTCTAGCAGACAGTTTATTCTTAGGAGCTCTCAGTGCTTGTGTTTGTCATGTAAAAAGTTCTGATACCAGTAAATGAATAGTTTGTCAACAGTTTGCTGCCAGCAATAAAATAGCAATGCACAATACGCAGCCAGTGCATTTTATGAAGTTATTTTAGTTGTGGGATCTTCTGTCATTTGAGGTAAGGATCCAATCCTTATGTGGTACTCTGACAGCAGACACAGGGATGCTTTACTCATCATAGCAAGGGTTGAAACTCACTCTGGAGCATAGCAACAACAGAGACCACACAAAATTCATAACTTTGAAGAAGGCTTACTGTGATGTGGTACTTGGATGGCTGCATTGTGGCTGCTAAGCAGTTCTCTTGCAGGGTCAGATGAAGAGTAGTTAGCCTTTTGGTCTGGAGCTGGATGTATTGAGTGATGGTCTCAAGAACATAGCTGGTGTTCCGTTCTAGGACAGATCATTTATTTAAAAACATGCATGAACCATGCACACACACCTTCACATGTATGCACTTAAGTATTTTGCATGAATTTGTGTCAAGTGTTTCACATCAAGGGTTATAAAAGGCAATGGTCTTGATCTGTCACCTAGAAAATGAGCCTTCCCAACATGCTTCTTACACTGTCATATTCTCTTCCAGGAAATGCAGGTTCTTCTACCTTACTCCAGGGATCTGGCAGTGGAGTGCCTTCTACCCACCCTCACCTTTTGCCGGGTTCCCCTTGCTCATCTCCAGCCTTCCATCTCAGCCCCAACACTAGCCAGCTCTGTAGCCTTGCTCCTGCTGACTACACAGCTTGTGCCCGCTCAGGTTTGACCCTGAACAGATACAGCACTTCCTTGGCTGAAACCTACAACAGGCTCACAAACCAAACCAGTGAGACGTTTGCACCCCCAAGGACTCCCTCTTACGTTGGTGTGTCGAGTAGCACAACTGTGAATATGTCAATGAGCGGCAATGACGGGGATGCATTCAGCTGCCCGCAAACTGGCTTATCTATGCAGATTTCAGGGATGTCTCCACAGCTCCAGTACATCATGCCATCCCCTTCCGGCAATGCCTTTACCACTAATCAAACCCACCAAGGCTCCTACAACACATTTAGACTGCACAGTCCCTGTGCGCTGTACGGATATAACTTTTCGACATCCCCTAAACTGGCTGCCAGTCCTGAGAAAATTGTTTCTTCCCAAGGAAGTTTCTTGGGGTCCTCGCCGAGTGGAACCATGACGGATCGGCAGATGTTGCCCCCTGTGGAAGGAGTGCACTTACTTAGCAGTGGGGGGCAGCAGAATTTCTTTGACTCTAGGACCCTAGGAAGCTTGACACTCTCATCTTCTCAAGTGTCTGCACATATGGTTTGATGAAGCCTTTAAGTAAAAGTACAGTATGTTTTGTGTCTACAACGTATTTCTTTTGGAATATGAAGGGACAATCAATGTAGCTTGTAAAGTGTGTGTATATATAATATGAGAGGAAGTTTCACTGAATTTTTGACTTGTTTGCAGCCAGATTATTCTCCTTTTTTTGAGCTACACGGAGTTTTCTGTGGTGCAGACTGCTTTAGTTTTCTGGTACACTTAGTTGTGTAACACGTTGGGACATATGCAACAAATTAAGTAAGACTTCCTCCCCTTTCCCCCTCCTCTGTTCTAAGCCCTTTAAAGAATTAAATGACACTTAGAGTATTAAACGACACAAACAAGCCCACTTACATTGCCTGTAGTACTAGTGAGATTCTTTAAAACATTCATGCAGTGTTAAGCTGATGCACCAAAGGCATTTTACAATTTTCTTCTCTGTTATAAGGGATATGAAGGGTATTTGGACTTTCAAGTGTTAAGTATCAAGCATCCAGCCTAAAATAGAAGTTTAGCTAATGGATTATTTACAAAGTAAACAGAAAGATTAGTTTGCCTTCTCATGATACGCTGTTTTTAGCTTATCAACGGCACAGCATTCTTACTAGGATTTTTTTTTTTCTGCATTAGTCTAGATCTATGATTAGGAATTTGAAGACAAATAATGCGTATTCAAATTGTGGTGATGTGAGTGATTTAAGCGAACAGCCAAAGAAATAGCATTCCTTGGTGCAGAATGAACTTTGGGGTGCTTCATTTTTGTCAAAGGAAGGGCTTGACGCATCTTTCTTCCATCGTAAATATTGCCTATAAGACATTTACTGAACAGTAGGATATTCTAATGTATCTTTGTTTTTATATTTTTACTTTTTTAAAGCAAATGCAGGTTTGATTTAGAAAAAGTGTGCAGAACAAGAAATTCCGTTATTGATTTTACCCTTTTTTGTGTGTTGTGATCTCCCTTTTTTTTTTTTTTTTTTTAAATAAGAACAAGAAATCCTCAGTATCTCATAAATTGTACATACATTGCCTGCAGCCATTAGGTGAATAACCCAGTTTGCCCACAATTATTACTGGAAGCAGAACTTTCTTCTAGCTGCCTCCCTGTAATGTGGCCAAGTTGGCACCGGGATTACAATAGGCAAAATTCCTTTAATAGTTTACTTTGAAAGGAACTGTGTAACACCTACCACCTATTTCCCTCCCTCCAGGGAGCCCTCTGTCTTCGGTTGTTGTTCCTTTCTGTCATGGGGCTACCGCTGCTCTGTTTCTCAAACAGTCTTTGCTGTGGAATTCCCATCTCTGGTTTAACTGGCGTTCGCAAGAACGGAGTGCAGATCAAAATCTGCTCCTGATCAAGCTTCTCCAGAGTGATGAGCACACGGGGAGATACTGGTCCTGGGGATGCTTCTGCCCTCATCTGTGCCTGCACCTCTGTGGTGTGGACGGCTGCGAGAGCTGCCTTCCGGCTGCGTGCTTGTTGGAGCTGAAGCACTGAGGGTATGGAAGCGATTTTAATGCTTGAGAGAATGAATCATCTTCAACATTGCCCTAAGCCTCCTCTGTACTATGCAGGTGATATGAAGGTGTTATAAAGTGTGTACAAATGTAACTGGAAAGGCTTCCCTGTTCAGCATTGAAGGAGAAAAAGGCCTGAAGTTTTTACATTTTTCAGTGAAACTGAATTGTTACATTTTGCAAGAGTTCTAATGTCTTTCCTGGCAAACAGTGGGCTTAATGTTTCTTCAGTAGATTAGAGATAGCGCATACAGAAGCAGCTCTCTCTCTATCTTTTCTTAGTGCTTAGGGAAAGAAGAAAGACCACAACTAACTTTAAGCTGGTGCCTGGAGAAGGCTCTACTTCTATTACTTATATTTTGTTTATGTTAAAGAAGACACTTAGAAAGTTCTCACTAAAGCTGGAAAGATAAGAGGGAGAGCCTGCCAAGGAGGAGATGAGTTTACTTCTTTGTTGTCACAAGCTTCCCAAGTGACCTTTTGCAGTTCACTCAGCTTTTTTTTTCTTCTGTAAAATGTGTTAATAGCACTTTTCTGCCTCATTAGGAAATGCTGACTGTACATGAAAGGTGAAGATGATCTTTACAGCTGATGTACAGTGGGCAGTACATTCTGGATGAATGGCTGGGTAGTGCCCATGTGTGGGGATAACAAAGAGCATTCATGTACTTTGGGTCTGTTGCTAGTTTCTGGCATTGCAGTGTCCTTTGATGCAGACCTACAATGCTAAAAGCGTTGTTCAAAAAAACTCCCAGTAATAATTTGTGAAAAGGTGTGTAGAAGATGGGCAAATTTTCAATGATGTGAGTTGTCATAGCTCTATTGGTTTCAGCCAACAAGAGTTGTGCATAGTAATTTCTGCTTCAGCCAAAACTTTGAAATGTTGCAGTTGAACATAATGCTAAATGAGAGGAATTGGTACAATTAATCTGTACGTGAAAAGGAATAAGCAGTATAATTATCCATGCCATCTTAAAGGCAGTGACTGTGTAGAAATGTGGAAGAGCTAAGTTATGCAAGTTCCTACGAGGAGGAAAAGTCGACTGTGTATGGATGTGCACGGAGGTGGCCCCAGCAAGAGTATGTACTTTGTCACCTGGGAACTGTTTAGAACTGTTCTCATATTCTTCCTGAAATTATTCCTTTCATATAACCGCACAATATGTTTTGAAACATTTGTTCCTTAAAATTTGAATCATACTGTAAATACTTACTGGTGTGCCATTGTGAAAAGTCTAGCTTTTTATTAACATAGTAAATGCTATATATGCCTTATATCTATAATTATATATCTGTATTTTACAAAAATGACACAGAAAATATATTAAAGTGTGTATCTAAACACTTTTTTCTACATTTGGAAAATTAAGGGATTTAAGCCTTTTTTTTTTTCCCTCCACATCTCCAGTAAAAGCAAAGTGACTCTAAGGTAAGCTTTGAAACTCAAAGACACTTCAACAAGCTACAGGGATCTAACTAGCCTACAGTCCTTCCATGTTTCAACTGAACTACCATGGAGACTATCATTTATATGAAAAGGTTGGGGCAGGCGTTGCACAAGACAGCTGGGGCTGGAAGGTATGGGGAGGAGTGAGTATCTTGCCATGCTGATTTTTCATAGCCCAACTCATCCCGGCTGCCAAGACAAGTTTTGCTGCCTCTTATCAGCCAGATCTGGGAGGTTCTATATGACCTGGTGCTTGCAGGAGAGCTCGATGCCTTGCATATCTGCTCTGTGCTCTTACTTTGGTCATTCACTCTCCCTTCTGTTTATTCCAAAATCCATGGATTCCCAAGGCAGAGTTTACACCCAATAAACAGCTGGGTATGCTGTGATTCTATTCAGCAACAAGCAACATTTATCCCCACAGAAATACTGCTATCCATAGAGGCCTTATTTCCCATTGTACTGCAGTAAATGATTCCATGTGACGTAGGGCACAGAGCCTGAAAATATGATTGCTTTGGAATACTAGGGTTTCGTAGTCACTTAACACCAGCATTGTTGCAAATGACCAGAATTAGGGCAAAAGAAGTAGGCATGAAAATGCTTGATCATAAATATCAGGCGTCTGGAGAGAATGAGAACTTCTGTTTTTAATAAGAGAGAAGTCTTTTTTGGAATGGTGCAATCACACACTGAGAAGCCTCATTTCTGCTTGAACAGAAGGCAACGGGAGAAAATCATAGGAATGGCATCAATGTTAACAAGTCTATATTATGAGCAGCTCAAGATGGGGAGCTCAAGTTGTCATGAGAAGTAAGCTCACATGTTCTGTGGGCATTTTTTCCCGTAAAGATAATAGATCTAATTAGTCTGTACAGCAGATTGCTTGTAAGGGCTGAAGACTTTTAGAGATTTATATATCCACTTCAGAGATTAAATTACCATTGTTTCACTCTTCTGAATATGCTGTCAAACTGTCACAGCATTATTGTTTATGTTTACTCTGAAGTCCAAATTTTAATCTCAATAACTGCAATTATTGTAAGGGAGTAAGTACTCTTTGTGGGCTGTCTTTTCACTTTTCACAAGCTGCCGACTTGTTACTTGAGCTCTTTGTTAATATGACCACATATACACTATTTCTCCTTGTTTTTAGCACAGTTGTGCCGATATAACAATTTAGTATATTCAAAACTGCATTAAAATTCATGTTCTGCCTCATTTTCCACACCATTTCTCATTTGCCTGTTCATTCAGAACACTAACACGCCCAGATGACATGCAGTTTTAACAGATGGTGACATGTCAAAGAAATAGCATTTCTAGAGCGTTCAACTTGCTTTGAATATTTTTCATCAGTGTTGTTATGTTCAGACACTGAACAAGTATTTGTTACTCAGAAAAGGAAGTTTCCTATGCAGCCACCAATTTTTTTGCACAGTGATATCAAATTGTCCAAACTGACAGCAGACAGACTCCACACAGAGCAGTTCCAACAAGTAAGAATCTGAATCTTCTGGGTGTACATGGAGAGATGGGCCAGAATTGTGAAGTTTCTATCCATTGCTTATGGTAACCTGAATCTGAAAAGATTCAAGCTAAAGCTTTTAACAGAAGTTTTCTTTAACTTTTCCTTGCCAAATAAGCAGGTTTGAAAGCCTGTTTCTTCTTGAAGTATTGTCACTGTTTGATCTGTTCACGCTCATTATCTACATGCTCATATCCGTTGGCTTGTAGAAGCACCAGATGAAGTTTATAGGGTAAGAGTACTTGGTACACTATTAACTCTTACCCTGAAGTGGGTTTCCACAGTAAAGACTCATTACATAACCACAGAGGCGTGTTCCCTGCCATTTCCTGCCTTTCCCCACTCCAGTTCTGCTGCAGGGATTGGCTGGAGGAATGGAAAGAGCAGAAATGGGCACCACAATCCTACCATGTGCTTCCACAATGTATTATTTTAATGTAAGACATGCGTGTGGTGGGGTGACACGTATGAGTCTTGGCTCTGTCTGAATATATCCCAGTGCATCTCATAGGAGAAGAGTAAAGTATGACATGAAAGTACCTGTGCTACCTGAATGCTGGGCTGCTGCAGTGA